CTCACAGTGCAAGCAGATGGTGGAAACTTCGTCTCAGTAGTTACACTGAGGTGAACAGGCCGTTGTGAATCCATCTCTCTCCCTGGGTCAGAGGGAAGGACGGTGCCAGGAGCCCCAGAAGGACGGGAGCAGAGGCTTGAAATGACATCCTGGAAAGAATCCCAAGGGCTTGGAGAAGTAGGAAATGCAGGAGACAGCTGTTGTCCTGACTGGGAGGGCGGGTGGGTGGGGGAAGTGTCCCCGAGGCTGTAGGTCCACGGACCCACTAACACGGCAGCTGTGAGTGTTCTCCACCAGAACTCACTAGTCAGCCCGGGTTTCTCAAGTGACTGACAGATGGAAGTAGATTGCCATTGTTACTGGGAAAAGAACGCCAGCAATGCCTTCTCTTCTCTTTCTCTCTTTTCTTCCCTCTCCTTTCTTTACTTTTTCCTATTTTCTCTTGTCTGTCATTCTGTCTCTCCCAACTATACTTTGATAGAAAACTTAAGATGGTCTGAAAAGTAAACAAGTTAAGTTAAATCTGACAAAAGTTCAGAAATTATGCAGAGAAAAGGGGAAGATCATTGCACCAGAAGCCAGCAATCAGGTGGTTGTGGTGGTTGAGCACTGAATTTGACTGAGTTTCCTGGCAGCCACAGCAAAAGTGAATATGCGGCGGTTTCTGATGCCCATGCTTTTCCATCAGAAGCAAATAATGATTCATCAGGGGAAAACATTTTTCCTGGTACTGAATTAAAATAATTTGAATATTCTAATGTACAGTGTCTCTGGAGGTTTTAAAAAAATACAATTTGTATGATCCTTTTATTTTATTGACTCTGACAAATATTAAATTCTCAATATTCCCTCATAGACAAGTGAGGGCATTTCCCCAAGGGCTTTAACCAATGTTGAGAAGGGATATTGTGTTCTGATTTGATAAAGGGACAGGAGGAGAAGGGGTGGGGGCATTGTTTAAGTATTTACCAGTGAGTTCTTGAGAGCTGTGGCTTCTACCATGCTGCTGGATCATACATTTGCTCTTTCATTCAGTGAACACTTAGGGGGCCACAAGGCTGTATCATGTTCTGTGTGCTCAATGCAATGTGGAAGAAGACAGGCTAGCAATCATGATATGTGGCAAAAAGTATGGTACTGGTGACCTGTGCAAAATGCCGCCAGGTGTTGAATTTAGAGAAGAGAATTGTTATTTCTTTGCTGGTAGGGGGGGCCACTCATGGCTTACTGATGAGGTGACATTTGAGCTGGGTCTTGTGGACAGTGTAGGAGTTCTCTAAGAGACTGAGATGGGCCCTCCCCATAGAAGCAGAGGCAGGACAGTGTCTGGAGTGTCTGAGGAGCAGTCCAGGGAGTCCCTGACACTGAGGAGATTGCCGTTGCCCTTAAAAACCACGAGCAGCTCAACCATAGGGGACACAAGGGGACAAGGCATTAGGGGAACAATTAGATACAATTAAATCATTAAAGTGTCAGCAGTGCCTGGCTCACGCAGGAGCAGAGTAAGCGCTGTGAAATGGCATGGGGAGGAGGCTGGGCCCTGGGCAAGCTCCGCGAGGCGGCGTCGCTGGCAGCACAGGTGATGAGGTGTCCAGGGCTTCTGAGTTCCTCCAAGCCACAGTTCTTAGGGAGGTGCCCTTTACCGTCCAGAAGCCTCTGGCGGTTGAAGAACGGGACTTTGGGGCCTGCACAGCACGCGTCACGCAGGAGAAAGGCTTCGTGTCTTGGAAAGGTGATGGAAACCCGGTGGTTGAAGAGCCTGGGCAAACTCTGTTGCACACTGACTCAAATGCAGTCAAATAGAAATCCATGTGGAAATTACACACGTAAAGAAGCAGGACAGCCCGTGGCCGCCCTTCCTGCCTTTCTCTTCACACCCAGGCTGGCTCTGCCTTCCTGGAGGAACAGGGACTTTCAGTGCAGACCTGGCTGCCCAGCCATGCCAGAGAAGGGGCTGGAGATGGAGAGGGGGCAGGCTAGGAGGAGCAGGTGAGGGCACCAGTGCGGAGTCTTGGCCAGGACCCTGCGGAGCCCTCTGAAGGATCAGTGTTCCGTTGTTCAGCCACTGTACAAGTCCCTCGTAGTCCAACTCCAGCTCGTCTACTTTCCCTTTATATTGCCACCAGCTCCAGGTGGTGCATACATGCCGGTGCTCAGCCCCTCCTGACCCTTTCTTTCGATCTTCTTAGCCTGGGAGCAAGGAGTGCTGGGCTCCAGTTTAGACGCAGCCTGCCCCAGGAAACCTGTCTGACCACCCGCCCATGGAAACTGATGGGTACGAGCTCTCAGCCCTCTTGGGCTGCTGGGGCCATTCGCCTTTTCACCTGGGATTTGGGGGTGAGGGTCCAGGAGGTGTCTGGTCTCATGTACCATCTTGATTAGATAGGGCTCTGGGACACAGAAAGGAGGGGCAGACTCGGGGCTCACTCTCAGGGCTCAGCGACGTGAGAAGATGCCGTGCAGAAAGAAACCCGTGCAGAGGCATTTTGCCTTTTGATCTCTGCACACAGCAGAGGAGCTGCTTCAGGCAAGTTTAACTTCCAAATTCATCTGTAGCAAATTGGGAGACCATTGCCACGGCCAAGTCCCATTCTACAAGGATGAAGTCTAGACAGTGACCTCTTCCCAACAGCTCCTTGCTGCCCGGGATGAAGGCTCTATGTTTCAGTCATTGTTGGTTGTAACTTACAGTGGGAAATACAGTTTCACCTCTGCCTAGTACACATATACCCATTGTTATGGGAGACAAGGTCTTGCCTGGAACGACAAGGTCTTGCCTGGAACTCCCTATGTAGCACAGGTTGGCTTTAAACTCACAGTTCTCCTGCCTCAGCCTCCTGAGTGCTGGGCACCATGCCACCATGCCCAGCTTATTCTATTTATTATAATTTTATTTTTTAAATTGTTAGACTAGAAAATTTATCTCACTAGTTAGTGGGTCAAGACCTATGGCCTGAAAATCATTTGGGTAATCATCAAGATGTTAGAGTCAGATGGATCCAGGTTTGAATCCTGACTCTGGCACCTAAAAACTGTGTGGCTTTGGGCAGTTCACTTTCCTTCTATAATAGATACCTTAGTTTCTTCGTGTGTGAAATGAAGACCACGGACCCTGCTTCAGGGGTGACTGTGAGGGTGAAGTGGGAGAGGTTGGGCGAAGTTCCTAGCACGATGCCTGGCACCTGCCCCTGTTCTTAGTGACGGGAACCCTGTATGACTATCCCAGAACAAAACTGCACATTTTCTCATCTACAGACAGACTTGTGCCCAAGGACTTTTTAGCTAGACGCAGAGCTGAAAATGTTAGACACCCTTGCTTTTTGCATTTAGGTCTCTAATCCACCTGGGATTGATTTTTGTGTCTGGTGTAAAGATCCAATTTCTTTTTTCCCCTGTTTCTGAATGGATAACCAGTTACCCCCGCACTGTTTATTAAAGAGTCCATCCTTTCCTGCTGATTTGTACATCGCATCTCTCATATATCAAGGTTCCATATGTGCACAGATCAGTTTTTGGCCTGAATTCTGTTTCAGCGGTCTATTTATCTGTCCCTGTGCCAATAACACACTGTCTTAATTACCGTGGCTGTGCAGCCAGCACTGATGGAGGTAGGCTTGTCTCACGAGGCTTGTTCTGCTCCCTTAGAAGTCTCTGGGCCGCTGTGGGCCTGGGCTCTTCTCTACTTGTTCCGGAAATCTGCTACTGCTGGAAGATGGTTGATGACCTGGGGACCCTGGACGAGCTGTCCTCAGAGAGCAGCATCTCAGCACCTGGTCCTGCAGCCGTTCCTGTGCTCACTGGGGCCATCAACCCCAGGTGGTGCTGAAGCTGCTCAGGAAGTACTTTCTAGCTGATTTTCAGAGAAAAGCACTGAGAATGTATCTGAGCCCAGGTCCCACTTGTCCAGTGGTTCCTTTGTTTCCTCCAGTGGCTCGGTCCTCCTCATCCTACCCAGGTGCCTAGAGTCCCTTCCAGAAGACTGCTTGCTCTCCTGTCCGTGCCTGGAAGGACATAACCCTGGGCAGACAGGGATGTTCCCCACTGGCAACACCAAGGTCCAGAAAGTCTGCCCATTCCAGAGCTCGGGATGCACAACCAGACTCTTTGGCCTAAGTGTCTGCAAGTGTTTTCTTAGCGGGAAATAGGTCTGGGAGGAAGAGACGGGCACTCATGCTTATGCTTCTGTCTGGGCTTGATGGGCAGAGCCAGGCCGGCCTCTTTGCTGCTTTCTTTGCAGACCATTTTGACAGAGGCTTGAATGTCAAGGAACTGACTCACTGCGAGTTCTGATTTCACGAAATGACCTGAAGAAAGCACGTGACTCTTGTACCCCTCCATGTGGTTGGCATGGGTTTGGTGTGCACCCCAGAATTTTCAGCACACAGATGCTTACATGGTTCCAAATTTCAACACCACTTGCCAAACTGTGACTCAGGTTGGCTCGATACACTGGATTTGGGGAAGGCGTTCTCTGGACTGGGATTCTGCCTGGTTTTCCATGGACAAAATCCTACTCTCTTTGGCTTTAGTTTGCCCATCTGTGACATGAGAGTTTGGACTGGGTGATCTCCCAGACTTCATTTGATGCTTGTTCCTGTGATTCCATCCTGGGGCATGAGAGGATAGAAACCAGAAACTGTTCTGTCCATCTTCCTGCCAAGAAGATTCTTCCTTCTGCCTTGCTTTGGTTACTGATGTCTCCCTCCCTGCCTGGAGGAAGATGGTAGCTCTGGCTGACTAGAGCTGGACCAGGTGCCCCGCAGACCGTAAGCAAGGCAGACTGGACTTCTTGTGAAGCTGGTGTAGACTCCTGCCCCTCTTCACCTGGGGAGCACTGTCAGTTTTACAAACCATCTAGATCTGAATCTACACTTCCAGCAGGAGGGGATTAACGACCCCATGTGGGCTTCAATCCAGGCTTGGAGTAGACCAGTACACGGTGCTTTTGATTGTGGTATTTCGGACTGTTGGTACTGAGATGTTTCTGTCTCCTCTTTCAGACCACTGAGTACTCAGCCATGGCCTCATTGGCTGGAGGGCTGGATGACATGAAGGCCAACCTGACCAGCCCCACCCCTGCCGACATTGGGAGCAGTGTACCAGGTCCACAGTCCTACCCCATTGTGACAGGTGAGGGGACCTGGGGCATCAGGGGTTGAGGGGAGAGAGGGAGACAGAGAATGCATGTGTGGTGGGAGGAAAGGCCTTCTGGTATTTTTGGATGAGACTGGCCATTTTTTGCTTTAATGAGGTTATGAGGTCTTGGAGCAGACGGGCAGGAAACTGCTGGGGTCCCAGTTTGTAGCTGTGATAAGACATGGCTGTACATGATTCCAAGAAAGCCAGAGGAAGGCAAATGTCAAAGGGACTGTGGCTGAAAGGAGTGACAGGGAATCCCCCTGCCAGATGGCTCCTGTAGATGGGGATTTATGCATCTCATGAGTAAAGCAGCCGTGGCCGGTGGCAGCTTCAAGGAGTGGGATCCTTTGCAGCTTATCATTGGCATTTCAAAATTTCAGCAGAGGCTAGGTCAGGAAGGCAGGAGGCGCAGGCTGGGTACGTCCCAAGTAGCTGCCCTCCTGGAGGCCAGGGCCAGCCTCCTGGTCACTGTCAGGGTAAAGCACTTGGCCAGCATGCACCAAGTCCTGGCTGTCACCCCTAGCATTGTACCAAATGATACAACAGCAGCAGATAGCGTAGGCTCTCCACTCACTGCTGGGGTTGGACCTGTCATTTACCAGCTGTGCAACTGTCTTGGGCCACACAATCTCACACAAATGCCTGCTGTTGTTTTCTGAGCTGTATGATGGGCGTAGTATAGCACCGACTGCCCAAGGCGGTTATGAGGATGAACAGGCTCGCTCTAAGGTACTTAGATTCGTGCATAGCACACAGTTAGCATACAATGTATGTGGCTGTTGTCCCTCCTCTGAGAGACCCGTCACGTGGCTTGTCACAGTTGTGCATGTTGCTGCAGCTGCCCTCCACCCGCCACACCCCTGCTCCAGCAGCCCTGGTTACTGTGGAGCACTTGGAACTGTTTGGACCGCCAGCCCCTGGAGAAGGCCACATGGCAGGTGGAGGACTCTTAGGCGGTAGGATGCTGAGGCCCGAAATTGGGCCAAAGCCTGCGGGTGCAGCCTGAGCCAGAAGGATGCTCTCATGGGCAGAACACTGTAGGCAGTGACAGAGACAAGGGGTTCTTAGACACACAGTTAGGTAGCTGGTACATCGGGGAGGCTGAGGATTATCCTGGGCTTAGAGAACTTTAGGGGAAGAAACAGGAAACAGGATAACAGTTCCAAGCCCTTTAAATCGGAACAGCAAGGCAATGAGGCCAGCTCTGTGACCTGAGCTGACTGGTCAGCGCCGAGGCTCAGACTGAAGCAGCTGGCGCCCCACTTGCAGGTCTGGGTACCACACGGAGTAAGAAAGGGCCACAGTGACCTGATCCGTATGCATGTGCGATGAGGTGGAGCCTGCAGAGGGGGAGAATGAAGGGAAGCTGGAGCCAGAGAGCTTCATTCAGTTCTACCGAACTTTTACTGCCGTCACAGAGGTTCCATGAAGTCTTCTCCTCTGATGTCACCTGCAACCATGATACAGAAGCTAGGCTCAGCGAGGCAGTGCCTTATCCAATATAAGGGGAACCGTAGAGTCTTCTAGATCCCGAGACTTCAGTTTTCAAAGAACTATGAACAATTGCGAAGGGGAGAGCAGAAAGAAGTGTGGACCAGGTCATAATAATAGTCACTGTCACTTCATCGAGTGCTTGGGCACCAAATACCAGGCACTCTGTTGAGTGAGCCCATTTTTTACCCTCAGAAGAATCCAGGAGGTGGCACAATCAATATCATGCCCATTTCATACATAAGGAAACTGGGACTTGGGGCAGGCAAGTATTTTTCCTGAGGTCACACCAGTGTTCAGGGGTGCTGTGATTGAACACCAGTGGTTGTGCTGCTGGCCAGTCTGCTGCATAGAGAAGCCAGGGGCCACCCCCAGTGCTGTCACTTCCTTCTGTCTGCCTCTGGGCACAGCTCTGAGTATCAATTTTTTCATCTGTGAAATGATCCTGGTCTCTCGGCATCCTTGTGTTGATCTAGTAAAATCCTCAAGGAGAATGTATGACAGAGAGGGCCATTTGTGACTGGAATTGGGGTGCATGGAAACTCAAGTTTAGACAGCTCACAAGGAGACTTTGCATCCCTTTGTGTATATTGCGATAGTGACTTGGGGAGCATGGAGACTGAAGTCAGCTTCCTGAGCTCCCCCTACGGGAGTGGAATGTGGGTGGCCAGCTCTCAAGGCTCACCCAGGTCACAGATAAGTGTAGTGGGGCCCACACAGGATTTTTGGACATTTTAATCCAACACATTACAGGTGAAAAGCTGGATTTTTGACTCCCCTTGAAAAATCAGAACCACCAGCCTCTGTGAGGCTTATTCTCACATGACCATGCTAGACCGAGGCTCAGTAGTAGCTCCCCCTAAAGGTAGGTCCCCACACTTCCCAGCCAGAGGCTCTGTCATATATCCTGAAGGTCCAGCCTGACAAGGACTGTGAGTTAACATCCTGGGAGCAGGAGCTTGTGCTAAGGACCAGCTGGGTGGGCTCACTCTCCTGCGATCTTCAGGGGGGTTCAGTAGGCCTGGGTACCCAATCTAGGGGTGATTGGGGTTCAGTTAAACCCTCAACCAAAGATCTGTTTGTGTTTTAATTCCCTCTCTTTAAATCACAGGGAGCCACAAGAGATATAAATATCCCAGACTAAAGCAGAATTATGCTTAATTTTGAAATATTAGAGATATAATTATTAGCTTTCTTATAAGTAAACAATAGTTAGCACAATAGAAGGAAGGAGCCCATGAACAACAAAAATCTGTTACTACCAAGGAATAGACTTAACTTTAAAAAGTAAAAGAATAAATGGAGAGAAGTTGTTTATTCTTAGGCTTGATATCATAAAAATGCCAGTTCCCCTAAGTAATCTATTAATTCAAAGCAATTCCAAGCCAACTATCAAGGGATTTTCAAAAATATGTCAAGATGATGCGAATTGTAGGTAAATAAACATTCTAGGACAGCTAGGAAAATTCTGAAATAAATGAGGAGTTCTAGCACATTTTAAAAATGTACTGTGAAACTACAGTTGCTAAAATTGTTATCGAAACTGACACTTCAGCATAGAGAGTACAGAAACAAATCTAAACACTGTATGTGTGGGTGTTTATAAGTGCAGGCTGTTGGGTCCTTACCTATGTCTTTATATCAAAATAAATAGGTTTTGAGGCAACTGATGTACTAATTGTCCTGATTTGATAATTATACATTATATCCACGCATCAAAATATCACAACAAACCCTAAACATGTATAATTATGTGTCAATTAAAAATAAATGCCAGGCAGCTGGGCACGGTGGAGCACTCGGGAGGCTGATGCAGGAGGGTCACTGTGAATTCAAGGCCAGCCTGGACTATATAGCGAGACCTTGTCTCAAAAAACCAAGAATAAAAAATAAATAAATTCCATTGATCAAAACTTCGAATGAAAAAAACCCTGGGGGGGGAATTTTTTTATAGAGAAGGTCTTTTCAAAATATGTCTTGAAAACAACATATGTGTGTGTGTTAGTCTTTTGTATGTGTGTAAAAATACCCCAAAAAAGTATAAAATGTAAAAAAGCAAAACACAGATGACAAGTTAATTTATTTAGTATATAAAGAGCTTTTTAAAATTTTATTTATTTATTTATTTGAGACAGGATCTTGTCATATAGCTCAGGCTGGCCTTGAATTCATTAGGTAGCCCAGGCTGACCTCAAACTTACAGCAGTCCTACCTCAGCCTCCCAAGTGCTGAGATTACAGGTGTGCACCACCACATCTGGCAAGAAAGCTTTTAGAATGAATAAGAAATAAAGCAGTAGAAAAACTCAAGCAAAAAATATAAATAGGCATTTCATTGGGAAAAAATATAGATGCCCCAAACATATATGATAAATCAACAAGTTAAAATAGTCAAGTGATATGTAAGATATAATACCATTAATTTATCAAATATTAAGTTAAATTTCAAAGTTGGAAAGGGTGTGAGAAACAGACATTTTCATATACTGTTAAGGGAGTACAAACTGGTGCAATTTTTTGGAGGAAATTTGGCAATATTTATCAAATAGTTAAATATACATGCCAACACTGTGACTCGGAGCTTTTATATGTATTTTAAAGAATTTATCTCACAAGTATATTCACACAGTACAATATAATGGTAAAAAAAACCCAGAAACCATGCGGCCTCAATAAGTAAGAGCTGAAATATATTGACTCTTTCTTACAATAAAATACTACCGGTATACAAACCCACAAAGATAAGTAAATCTTATGTCTCCTGACATGGATACATGTCTAAGTTATACATCTGAGTAAAAAGAAACAAGCTGTATAGTGATTTAAGTATGATCCCATTTGTATAAAAATATAATACAATGTAGTATAGAAGAAATACAAAATATAACACAAAAATTACATGGTGATTCATGGAACCTTTGAACTAACACTCACACACATCTGTTCTGTATATGGGGTGCAGTGTGTGAAGTGTTAGTGGACCTTTCCTCTACTCCTTCCTCTCCACTGGCTGGAGAGCCCGACCCCAGTGGGATCCTGCTCTAGGGTCAAGGTGGAGCTCTCGCCCAGCCCCGCCCACCTTCCCCTCGGGATCGCAGATATTTACAGTGCCCCTTCACCACCCTGAAATTAAGTTTAGAAAGCATGTAGCCTATCTTCACATCTAATTGCAGATAAAAGCAAATCTATGCCTCATGAGGTAAAGGAGAAGTAAAGACAGAGTTGTTACTAATTAAATAACCATTATTTGATAATACCTGTTCTGAATATCTAAACTGCAACTCCGCGAACTGGCGGAGAACTTGCCCGGTGCAAGGAAGCCCCGTGGCTGCAGGAGCTCTGAACGCAGACTTCTGCAGAGGTGCAGACCAGGGCTTAGCTGGCTCAGATTGCCAGTGTGATTTTCCAAATAGCAGCTTTTGGCCAAGTTCCAAGTAAAACAAAGTATGAGCTTCGTTCGATTTACAGGGTAGCTGCATTCCTAGAAAATTCGGAGTGTAT